CCCCCCCCCCGAAGCGCTCCACTCCGACCTGGATTCAGAAACCTTCAGGCTCAGAGACATCGAGGGCTGTTGTGGAAATGAACGTCCGAACTGGCTCCACTCAAAAAACGCGTCGTGTAAACAGGGCCTTGCGCTAAATCGTGACTTTCTGAATGTTTCAGGTTCGTGAGACGTTTTGCTAACGCTGCAAACACAAACGCAGGCCACGCTCACAGGTGATTAAAAACAGGCTACTGAAATCTTGTTCCAGTGACGAGATCAGCTGCGGTTAGTCCCCATCTTCCAAACTTCTCACGTCTTTTCTCATCACGACGTTCACAACTCCCCCGTCATTTACCTCAGCTGTAAATAAACACAGCCGACATTGTGCCATGTACACTTTAGAGCACGTCTGAAGCGAACTAGCTGTGCAGGTTAGCTCAACGACGTCATTCTTTAATAACTATTTCCCCTTTTATTTTTCCCAGAAACTTTCCTTGGTAGCTCCTGTCCTTTGTGAAGTATCAGGGTTGACTTCAGCCACAGGAGGAAAACCATAAACGACATTTAATGTAAACGATGCACATCTGGGACATCACATCTAAAATGTTTGGACAGGTTAACCAAAGCACTGGCTCCGTTTCTGCAGGTAGTGTACCGTTAGTGTGACGTTAATCTAGTCTTACAGCTTCCAGGATATAAAAACATAAAAACTATTATTGCTAATTTTTCTTTTATTATTTTAAATTCTGAGGAGTAGGCAGACTGATGCACATAAACACATGACAATGAGCGCAGAGTGTTTACGTTGGCCCGTGTGGAGCTGTGTGGGTTTGGTGAGGCTGGACAAAAGGAGGAGTATTTAGACAGGCTAAGAGGAAGTGTGCTTGGTTAAGATGGTGGTTGAAAGAGGGGAAATAAACACTCGAGAGCTGCCCTGGAGGAACGTTTCGCTCTGAGGAGCGGCTGTTTGAGCAGAGCTGCGCCGCTCAAGTTAAACATGTGTGGCACTTCTTACCTCGGCCACCGCGCGTAGCCCCTCGTCCACGGACGACTCCAGCTGGTGCGGCCCCGCTCACTCCCTTTCCCATGAGCCTCAGCACCGCCGCACTGTTCACGGACATGGAGAAGTTCCTCTGCGGAGCAGAAGAATGTGAGGAATGCGAACTCTTCAGTGCACCCGTAAGAACGGCTCACGGAGGTTA